GAGCTTGGACGAAATCGTAAAACAAAAAATTTTTTAGGGATATCCTTTTTCGGGCAAAAGCTTCAATTCAATTCAGTTCCATACCTTAAACGAACACAGAAAAACTAATGTTCGTAAAAATATTTCTTGGTTGCAATAAAGATGAGTTAAGACAAGTGAGCTTCACCGAAGCACAGTACCTGTATTTTGTTGAAAGAGCACTATAATCAAACGAAATTTCATGTAGTCGCGATCTAAAAACGTAACAACGATATATAAAAATTGCGCGGGAAAAGTTACAAATGAAAGTAGCGCGGCCTAAGTAGACTATTCTCTTATTTTCTTAAAAGATTTAATAGATCACTCGTCGAACATATAAAAAGTCTATAAGTAAACTATATTGTTATGCAAATCAAAATTTTCCTTTTTATATCAGGTAAAGGAAAACTATATTATTATGGAAGTGTAGCGACCCGAAAATGATTGCCACGACGGGCGGCCGGCACGAACAGGCACCTGTTGAGTGAGTCAGAAACACACTACCAGTGACGGGTGACGATCGGTTTATTCAAACCACATTCAAACCGATATTGATCGAACATTGCATCGAATAGTATTTTGTATGACTCTCTAAAGTTGGATGGAATAATTACTAATTAAATAAATATAGACACAAAATAATTAGAATATTTTTCTTTAGATATTATTCATGTCTTTGACGACCTAATTATTCAAATGCCGAACATTCAGTTTGTTTTGTTTTAATTACAAAATAGTCGCACGTCTGCCACATTCTCACCTGCAGGGCTAACACGGCAAGCCGCGACATTCGCGAGAGCGACATAAGGCACGAGATCGCTATGCAAGAATACCAGTATCTCCCGCTATTCGCAGACTGTCGTGCTAGCCCTACTTGATGCAGATGGAAGATCGCATATACATAGACAACGTACTAATAAATAAAGTCCGAATACCTTTTAGAGCCAATTACTTACGTAATAAGAAATCACTTTGAAGTGAGATGAGTGCTATAAATCTATAGGTTGAACCGATTAGCATGTCAGTTGCGGGCATTGACCCCGACTTTTAATCCCGAAGTCACAATTCGACAGCGACCGATCGCCGATCCCAATAAATCTGTCGCAATTTTGATATTGCTGGAGGAACATAAGAAAAGTGAATGACATTATTTGAAATTGAGACATATCATTGTGTGGATTCTTATATTATTAATATAACATTGTTACTATTATAATTCATTACACAAATTTTCATTTTAATGATATACATGTTAAATGAAAATAAACAATACTTATGATTATGAATTGGGTTACAGTAATGTACACTTTACATTAAAACTCAGTGTATAACTTTATAATTTTAAAAATACAAAACATGTCAATTTTCATTTAACATCCATAAAAAAAGTACGATACCCTAAAAAAGGCGAATTTCAACTTATTCCCGTTTCTTTTTAGCTACGTACTCACGACAGCAATGCGTCACCTTTGAGCCCTTTTGTTTTAACATCTATTAAATACTTTTTGTCGGTATGCTTGCGTTCGGTCGAGATTCGGATATATTTACGTTTAAATTTTGCTGTGGTTTTGTTGTTTTTATAATTTACTTTGCTACATATTGCCAGAAATAATACCACTTTTAGATTTGGCAACTCAGATCGGACTTTGAAAGTGCCGGCTCTGCTTAGTATTCCGTTTTTCACCGACTTCAAAAAAGGAGGAGGTTCTCAATTCCACTGTATTCCTTTTTTATGTACGTTACGTGATAACTTTGACATTGTGAACCGATTTTGATGATTCTTTTTTGTTGGAAAGTCGGTACTTCAGTATTGGTCCCATTTCAATTTGAAGAAAATATTCCACCTCTAATGGATGCAAACTACAGGATGAATCCCGTTTCGCGCACTTTTCGGTAACCGGTTTCAATAAAACTTGGCAAATAGATGTAATTACATCCACGAACTTTCGTGGTCGGTTTTTTAAGTACCCTGTACTGAGATTATTTAATACTTGTATATACTTTGAAAAATAACAGGCATTTTTTATAAAGGCATATTTTATCAGTATGTTTAATTAAATATAAACATTAGACAACACCACATGTTGCTCTGATCCCAAAGTCAATAACTGAAGCATTTGTGTTAAGGCAGTAGGAAACATTATTGTTTCCGGCACCACAAACGCCCAAACCCGAGACAATATAGAAAAGTTAGTTTTTTCTACATTGGCCGGGAATCGAACCCAGGACCTCACAGATGGTGGTCATGAAAACCGGTGTGTAAGCAACTCGACCGCAGTCGTCAAAGAATTATTAAACTATTAAAAATTACTATTAATCTATTTAAAAGTTTACAACCCCCGAGATCACCTGTGCGTCAAGCGTGACTTCTACCACGACACACTAACGATAACACTTTCGCGCATTACTGGGAACGTTACAGAATATCTTCATCATAAATAACATAATACAGAAGTTTTGTAGCAGTAGAGCTCCTTGTGAAAGAGTTCGTCCAAGGAAGTACCGTCACCTTACCTATTTCTGCCGCCAAACAGTAATATGGGCATTCCGGTTTGGAATGATAAGGGTGCTGGTGAAATTACAGGCACATGAGACTTATCAACTTATATCTCAAGGTGACGGGCGCAGCGGCAGTGTCCCTCAGATCTTTGTGTTTTAAAACTCTGAGTGGAACTGCAACTGTTCCGGACGGCGTGTCGCTTACCATCGGTATACGCCTTGTTCGTCCCGTCATTGTCAGTTGGTATCATAAAAAAGGAGTGGGTGAATGACCGCTATTGACATGCTAAACGGGTCGTATTAGTGGTATGGTGCGGTGCACGCTCGGATTCGGACGTGCTCCACTACACAATAAGAATTATAATAATTCGCGACCCGCGCGGCAATAGCCGCTGCACGTAATTGACTACGGGTTCTCAGCAACTCATAGCCAACGAACTGTTGGCGTTTATACAACACGCCATAGATACCATGGACGAAGTCAGCATCGTGCAGATCTGCAAGTCAAATTTCAAAGAAGAAGAGATTTGCAGTGGCAAGGCGCTGCTTTTCCGGACGTTTGGCAAAGCCGAGCAGATGCCGTCTCGTCGGAGAGATGGAGGAGTGAAGAGTCTCCAGGACATCATTACGTTGTTCAAGGAGACCGACCCAGACGACGTGCCTGCATTCGTGGCGAAGGAGCTGCATAAGCTGCCCCCTGTCACGTTCGACCACGTCGACGTCACCAGGCTGCTGAAGGACATCACGTCCCTAAAAGCAAGCCTTGCTGAAGTTCAGTGTAAGTTGGAGGCCTCAGACAACACCATCAGTGAGTTGCGTGCCCAAGTTGCATTACTTAGTAGTGCGGCTTCGGTAAGTAGGTCACCTGAGGCCTGCAACGTGAACACTTGTCGCGGGGCGCAAAATGCTTCTTTCAGCAGTTTTAAGTCGGCTGACAAGCATGTGTCACCGACCTCTGGCGCTGTTGCCGCGCGCGTTTCCCCGCACCCCGCCCCGCCGGAGACGACCCCTTCACGTGATTACGCAGCTGTTGCCGCTGCCCGACCCAGTACTCCACAACCACAACCCAGGCAACCAATGAAGGGAAAACTGAAAAAGAAACTCGTATCTGGAGCTGCGTCGTCAGTACCACCGAGACGAGTTGATCAGTGCGACGAGGACGGCTTTCGGAAGGTGGAAAAGAAAAAGAAGAACATCAGCCGAAACCTTAGTGGCACCGCCCTGACTGGCCCGAATCATTTATTGCGTCCAGCGGTACCGACGACGTTGTTATACGTGTCGCGTCTTCATTACTCCACCAAGTCTGCGGATATTGTGGAGTACATGCGAGTGAAGGCCAATGCAAACCTGAGGGTCGAGCGGTTGGAGTCGCGCCACAACGTGAATTTTAATTCATTTGTGGTGCGAGTACCAACTCAACACCTGTCGACCTTCATGAGAGAAGACTTTTGGCCGAAGGGTGTCATATACCGGCGTTTCCGAGGACGGCTACCGGACACTCACGTTGCGTCACACGTCGAAGTACATACGTGTAAATAAATAGTGTTATATGTATATTATCATGTTATATTGTATTTATGATTAGTCCGTAAGGTATTTATTTAATATTTCTGTTATTGTTTTATTATATTATTGTTATATTATATGTATGTTAATCTGTAAGGTATGTATCTATGGGTCCTAGTTGCCTGAAATAAATAAATAAATAAAAAAAAAAATAAAAAAAAAATAAGTATAGCTTAGGTTTTCGGAAAATACAAGACAATCTAATTACTAAACACATCCTGTAACAATATATTTAGTGATGATAACCTCTTACTGTTTTATTTTGAAACCTTTTAACTATCAATGGCTACTTCACTATTAAAATGAAAAATTATGCCAAGGTCACGGTTATACTTAATTTCATTGTAAAAGTACAGGTGATGATTCTGCTTGAAACGAACAATTACAACTTTATTTTCATGTATGGGAATTTCAAATTTAAAATCCCAGTTTTAGATTTCTATTTTAAATTGATTCTATTGATGCAAACTAGCGTATCTCGAAATTATTCGCGCCTAATTTATTAGCACCTTATACAATTATATATTATTATTGTAACAATGTACATATTATTATAACCATTTAGTTAACCACAATTCAAAATAAATATATCGATTGACACATCTCTACGCGACTAAACTTATACCTACGCCAAACTCGATTAAGTAAAATTACTATAGTTGCCATTGCTGCTGTGAAGTTGGCCACCCACTAAACGGGACCGGGAATTTAGATGCAGCTTTTATTACGATATCTCCCTTTACCGTTATAGTAATAATAACAATATTAAACTCTAAATATTTGAAATTGACTCGGAAGAAGGCGCCCCAGGGCCCTGTGATCCCTTCCTTATACATTATGGGGCAAGCGTTCTTCTAGGTCATCATCACTGCTTTAATATAATTATGTACATATTCTAATGTATAGGTAAGTAGTACCTGATATGTCTGAAGCGCGTCATGACTCGTGCTAACTTCGGCGTCGGCGGCCAGTTTCTTTACCTGAAAACAGAGTGAAGGCTCAAACAGATACTTGGAGTCGCGCAAAGACGGTTTACATATAAACGACCCAAAGACAGCATTTTGAAAAAATACTCTTTTTCGAAACGAGTCATGTAAGTCATTAACGCTACACATGATAGAAGCTTTGTTCAATATATTTACATTAAATTTTACAATCAACAGTTCATAAAGTGCAACATCGTGTAAAACAATAACATCGCGTACATATTACAAAGCAACCCCTAAAAAGTTGTGTGTAAATGACATCAAGAAAAAAAGTAAAAAACCTAAACGTGTCGGACATGCCCGTGATAGGGTTTCGTAGCCGTTTACGTTGCTAACATAATTGGGCTTAGTTATACTCTTTGCCCGATTCATTTGTGTGACTTTTTGCTGATTTTCTTGTTTTTGTTTGAACCGTACTTTAAAGTTAAGAATAATTAAATTGCGATCGAGCCTGGAGTGTCTCGAGCACGTGTCACAATGACGTCTTTTGTTACATTTTAAAAAAACAATTCAAAGACGAGGGGCATCTACAAAACAAATTTAGTTTTTAAGTTTTTGTTTTTAGTATTACAAAATTTATCTTCACATTATCTTTTCATAGCAATAGGTGTATAAATAATCTCAGTACAGAGTACCTACTAAAAAAACTGACCTCAAAAGTACATGGAAGTACATACAATTACCAAGTTTTATTGAAATCGGTTACCGGAAAGTGCGGAATCCCGGGTTCATCCCCTAGTTCGCCACTATACGAGACTTGACACAGGAGATAATAAAAATCGGTTCTCACTACTCAAAGTATATTAAGAGAGAAAAACGTCTTGAATTGGAGAATAGCAAAATCAACCATTAAAATAATTGCTCCTTATCATTGACTTACAATTATATGGAAGTCGGGTCCGCGCTAAAAAGTGTCCGAACTTATAGGGCGTTAAAATCGTATACAGAGCGTCATTCACGCTTTAGTCTTCGTTTGTTCGACTGACAGCGAAGAAAGGAAAATTAGACAGTACTGCGATGACATTACAATTTAAATTCAACGTTTTAGCTTTTTCATATTCCTTTACATGTCACTACGTTTAAATAGGTTGACTTGGGACATTTTTTTCGTGGTTTTTGTATTAGACCCGTCGTCCATTTATTTGTAAGTCAATGCTCCTTATAATAAAATTTGGCGCTATTTACAAAAATGAATCTTCATGCGTGAAAAACCACTCTTAGATGTGGATGATTTTCTTCAAAATTAAATGGGACCACTATGGAGAAACCTCTTTCTAACAAAAAAATAATCATGAAAATCGGTTTACAAATACCGGAGTTATCACGTAACATACATACAAAAAAAAACAGTCGAATTGAGAACCTCCTCCTTTTTTGAAGTCGGTTAAAAAGCGATGAAAATAGATGTGATCTATAGTCAGATAAACAGATGTACTTATCGGTTGCTAGTTTACCTACGGAACCGTTTCTCTCTCCAGCGCAGTTAGTTAGACTATGGAATTTGCCTCTCCTGTATTACCTGCGTCGAAATATTACGAAATCATAAAAGGGAAATTTTAATTTTGCTCAGGTATATCTTACAATGAAACAAAGAATAAATATTTTATTATAAGAATATCTTTTATAAATACTCTACATAATAAATACATATACAGGGTGTAATTATTAAGTGAGCACAGGCAATTATTTCGTAAATATAAAAAATATCAAAACCTTTAAATTGATATCGAAAGTACGTTGGTTAATGCTTAAATTTTTTTTAAATAAAACTAGAAAGTTCTGAAACTTTAAACGTTCATGCATTTAATATGATAGTCGTAGAGAGGCTTTGGTTGAGCTACGGTATTCACATGATATTGGTAGACTCACTAACCATAGCGGTGCCTCAAAGGCTGGCTTTGGTTCTACAGTCTAGACTAGTTACCTATACTTTCTTCATACGTTAATTGCTTCATGTTGCTGAGCAACGCCGAGCGTTCGTCATTCCGCCAGTCAGTAAATTTAGTTGGCGCTGCCACTTTTTGCAGTTGTAAAGTCATCCTAAATTGTATCACAAAAATTATAAAATATAATCAAGCTCATAAAATATTTAAGTAATGTGGGTCTGTCCAGTCGCTCGTGTAATAATTAAAATAAATTTTAATCTATAATAAGCATCCTTTACCGTTAACTGCGAAATAGTAAACTATTGGCCTAAATGTCTATTAGCAAGCGCTACAATGTAAGGAGGACCTAGTAAATAGAAAAACAATTCTAAAAAATAAGTTCTATAGTCAGATCCAAAGTCGTTTGTAATCCCCGACGCAAAAAGTTTAAAGTCGTCGGTTCATGTTATGTATTGTGTATTTGTTTGTGGCATCATACGCACTTCTTATTAGAGACGGCTGAGATTTCTATTATAACATTTACTCCCCCATTAATATGAAAAACCTCTACACAGGCCGAACTCGGCGCGTGAAGTGACGTATTACAGGGGAAAAGTGCGCTCCCAGAATCGAGCTGTATTTCGCATATTCAAGTCAAATTATTGCCGTACAGCATCCTAATTAAAGGGACCAACGTTGCATTGCCACCTCAGGTACATAATTAATCTATGTGTGTAAATACACAAACGCAGTTTCTTTTTCTTTTCTTAGGTCCTATGTAGTAAATATGTAAATAAATTTTATGTGATAAAAATCGCACAAATCCTATGATGTACGAAACTAAATCAGAATATCGATTTGTAAAATCAGTCATATATAAAATTAGGTATATTTGATTACCATGTTGTTCTAATGGTGTATCACGCTTCTCTAAAAGCATTAATTAATAACTTATAAAAAATATAAATTAAGGTATTAGTAATCCTTCGTAAGAATGAAACTATTTTTCCGGATTTAAATCGCGTATATTTGTTTTTTCAAACATACTTTAATTCATTCAATAAAATAATTTGTAAAACTTAATGTAGCGTAAATTGGAATGTTTTCTTTGTAAAATTAAAAATAAGGTATTTAATTAATAACTATTGTAACTATAGTGAAAAAATAGGGTGGTTTGCATTAATATTAGACATAACTGGTTGAAGACTGTACCACCTCAGTCAACCGTGACCATGGGACCTGTAAAGGGCCCGAAACGTCGGTTTGTTTGAAAAAACAAATATACGCGATTTAAATCCGGAAAAATAGTTTCATTCCTATGTGTAACAATCGCGAAAACCTAAGAACTCGATAAATCCTTCGTAAATTATTTACAGATTAAATAATTTTCTATTCAAACTTTCAACTACACGGTAAGTTTCAAAACTGCAAATACCTAATAGTTTGGACACTGTGCTAATACTGACACGATTCGTTAACGTAAAAATACTAGGTAACCAGTTCAATCTAATATATTGCAATAGTCACCCAAGCGAAATACCGAAAAATTAAAGTACTTTGGTACCTACCGATCTATCAATTACAAAAAAGTATGTAATATAAATTGTTGTAAATGCTCTCTCCGATCTATGTGTCTATTATATGGAGGGGTACCTGTATATACATACTTCTATAATTACACTACTATTATGTGGTCCTGATTTAGTGCCGGCATTATTCGTGGTTGGTGACACCACTGAATTAGGAGCGCAGTAGTATTTGCTAAAATCGGAAAATTGTTTAAGTAATCTGTGGTTAACGGTATTAGTTACACATTAAGTCACTATTTGTTAGTTTTAACTATGTACTATATATATATATATATATATATGTCAGCATTACTGTGTTCCGGTTTTGAAGGGTAACGGTTCTAGTGAAATTACTGACACATTGGACTTGTCAACTTATGTCTCAAGGTGACCTCAGATCTTCGCGATTTAAAGCTTTGAGTGCCCCCCTCCTTAAATTTAAACTGAATAAGGCTAAATGGGATGAATTCTCTTCATTAGTGGAAGTTAAAACTAGGTTACTTCCACTAATTACAAATGAGAATTTCCTTGCAATCTATGAGGATTTCATTAACATTCTGCTTTCTGCTGCTGATCTCTCTATCCCTCTTAAAAAATCTAAGAAAGGCACCATCCCCTCCCCCCCATGGTGGGACTCCGACTGTACAGAAACCATTCTAGAACGCAATGGAGCTGAAGAACTTTTTTTGGATAATCCTACTATTGAAAACTTTTTGTCCTTCCAGAAGCTCAAAGCTAAATCCAAAAAGCTGTTCTCAAAAAAAAGCGCCTTGGCTGGTCTCAGTTTTGCGAGAATCTCGCTCCTCGTGTAAAATTTTCTCTAGTTTGGAAATATTTTAAAAAGTTTTCAGGCTCTCGTGTATCCAATACTTTTTCCTGTAATGAGCCATCAACTTGGATCGATGACTCTATTAATAGATTGGCTCCTCCTTCGGTCCCATCTATGGACTGTTTCCCTCCCTCCTTTTCCTCCAACTCTAATGATAGAATGGATCAACCATTTTCCTCCGTAGAACTGTCTTCAGTTTTGAACCACCTAAGAGACTCTACACCTGGAATCGATGGTATCCCATACTCTTTTATTAAGTACATCTCAAATTCTTCGAAAACTGTCCTACTTAATATTATCAATAAAGTCTTTGAAAATGGTGATATTCCACACTTCTGGAAACTTCAAGTTGTTATCCCTATTCTTAAACCAGGTAAGGATCCAAGGGATCCTGCTTCATATAGACCCATTACGCTGTCATCAGTATTATGCAAAATATTGGAACACCTCATCAAAAATAGATTAGAGTGGATATTGGAGAGCAAAGGACTTCTATCCAGGCCGCAGTTCGGATTCCGTAAGGGTATGGGCACTCTTGACAGCCTCAGTACCTTTTCTACTGAAATCAGACTCGCACTCACCAGAGGATTGTACTTTGTTGGTGTCTTCCTGGACGTGACAGCCGCTTATGACAATGTTTATCTCCCGCTACTCAGGCAAAAAATGCATCAGCTGAATCTACCAGTGAGGATGATTAACATCATTTATAACATGCAATGTCTCGCTCCATCTCAATACGTATCAATGTTTCTCTTCTCCCCCCCAGAATGATATGGAAGGGACTCCCACAAGGTTCTGTCTTGAGCCCCATCCTTTATAGTCTATACACTTCTGACCTTGATAAATCTGTTGACTGCTTCTGTGATATTCTACAGTATGCAGACGATTTAGCACTCTATTATTCCTCAGAGTCTCTTGATGAATGCACTATCCAACTAAATACTGCCATTAGATACTTGCAAGATTGGCTCACTAATCACTGCCTTCTCCTATCACCCAGTAAAAGCTCAATAGTAGTATTCACAAGAAAAAGACGTGTCCCACATATACAAATTTTCCTAAATGATGAACTGATCCCTGTGCACGACAAGGTTAAGTTTCTAGGCTTCTTTTTTGATTCCCATATGACTGGAATACCTCACCTAAATTATATTAAAAATAAATGTGAAAAGGGTATAAATATTATTAGAGCTCTGTGTGGAGTATGGTGGGGAGCCCACCCTTATACCCAAAAATTGATGTACAATGCTGTAATAAGGAGTCATTTTGATTACGCTTCATTTTTATTAGAACCTTGTAACAAATCCGCTGTTAACTATTGGGATAATATACAGGCTAGATGTCTTCGTGTTATATTAGGAGCGATGAAATCATCTCCAATCAATGCCATGCAGGTTGAGAGCTTAGATCCTCCGTTATGTTTCCGTCGTCAATACTTATGCGACCGTTTCTTTTTCAAAATCTTACAAAATTCTGCTCACCCCTTACTTGCCCCCTTGACTCAACTAGCGAACCTTGTTACAACTTCTAAATACTGGGAACATAAGAGCCCTCCATGCCTTTTAAAAAGCTTTAACAAATATCTCAACCCTATCAATCAATACTCTGCTAATCCATTCTTTTTAATTGATTTTGATGCACTAATTTTTAAACCCAACATTGTTACCAATTTAGGAATTGTCAAAGATGACCCTAACTCTGGAATACTTTTTAATAAAATCGTTAATGAGAATTGGAACGGTTGGCTCAATATCTTTACAGATGCTTCCAAATCCACCACAGACGATTTTGTTGGCTCTGCCGTCTTGATCCCTACATTTAACATCTCCTTAACTTTTAAATCTCCCTCTAAAGCGTCCGTATATTCGGGTGAGGTGATTGCTGTTTTTGAGGCAGTTTCATATGTTGAATCCCACAAATTAGACAAATCTGTAATTTTTACAGACTCTCGTAGCTGCCTGGACGATCTGTTATAATTCCTTCTTCTCCTTCTAAATTTTCCGCAGAAGCCTGGGAGCCAATCGCGTTAATTGTCAAAAGTAAAACCAAAACCTAAAACGTTGCCAATTGGTATCGCGCTAAATATTTTAACGTTTTAATTAAATTTAAAATTTTAATTATTTTGTTACAGATTTTAATAGCTCGTATTGTTTTTAACTACTGGGGCGTACCAGACCCCCATTGACAACAGTGCCTATCACCCTTTCCCAAGCCAGTGTCAGTAAGGCACAAGCGGTAGCTGCTTAAAATAAACCAGTTATTATGAATAAATATGCAGCTTTCCTAAAAGGGATGGTATTAAAAGGTGGTGAGAAAATAAGCTTTACAATGTACATCACCTTTGTTAGTTCATGTCTTATTTTCTGTTATTATTATCAAATAAAAATGACAGATATAGGTAAAATATGTATACTTGTATAAAAAGATATTAAAAGGTTACAATTTATCTCTTTTAACAGTTGACTTTATACAACATATCGTCCCCTTACAGTGCAGTCTCAGATATTCATTTTCAGTTTGTTTTTACTGATTTTTGTTGAATAAAAATTAATAATGTAATAATATAGTATCTAAAAGAGGTATAATTTAAGTAATTAAAATGCTAACTACGCACGTTATTGCATTTACTATACTTTACACCATATTTTTATCTTCATCCTGAAAAATTACATAGAAATCCCATATGAGGTATTCATTCTAAGATGACGATGTATACCTATTGCAATTGTTTATTACCTTAATATCTAAATTGATGTATACTTTTAAGAGGTTGAAATTAAAAAAGAGTGTATTTTTCGTTTATTTATTGCCTCAATCTACCTCAAATCATCCTTCAAATCCAGAGCGATCTTGCTTTTTATTCTTCAAAGAAGTCTGAAACAAAAATATGTATATAGTAAGATTGGAGACCTAAATTTAAGACTGAGCCACCCAATGATGAAGGGTGGTGAAGCTCTATACTCCTATGTGGGGTCTTGCTTTCTGATAAAGAGCAATACCTCTCATGAGAGTAGTGACAGATAAAGCAGGATGGGTAGTTATATACATACAGTATGAAGCCAACATAAACGCCAGAATGTTTAGGGGTCTTTTCAAAATAGATTATAAAAAACGTTTATATAACTGTGGAAATATAAAGGGGACAAAAGTCTACAGATTAAACCTAACCTAATTGAACATATCATCAGCAGGAATTAAGAAAACATGTTGAAAACAAACCTGTCATTCTTGTTAAATATTTTATCAAAAAAGTTAACTGTGGGCCACAACCAACTCGGTAATTGCTTTGCAAATGGCAGCTATGGATTGAGCATGCAGATCATCTGCTTTGGCAGAAATAATAGCTGCCTCAGCCTGCACCCTGCCAGCATTCACATCCTGCAAGAATGCTTCGCATGCTCGCAGCTCCTCAATGCATAAGAATTCTACCCGGCTCTGCTCCAACGCTTTATCAGCTCGCTGTCAACGAAATAATAGATGTGATGTAATAAAGAGTGGGAAAGAATTTGCTCGAATTGAAAGTTACTTTGTTATTGAATTGTATGTTTGAAGTTATTTAGTTACTTTGCGCTAGAGTTGGTGTCCTTTAGGAAGGTTGGAAGGGCCTCTGCCGCAGTCGTTGCCGCCGTCGATGTGGTGTAGATTCTCACCCTGCTTTACATACCATTCCATACCTGAATAACAATAATAACATTGCATATTATGGTGATATGAGTTCTGGTACAATAACGGTGAGTGATCCACTCAATGTATCCTATTACCTCTCATTATAGCTCACCTTTCGGGATCTATTGCGGGGCCACAAAATAGCCACACACTCGCACCAAAGGCGTGCTGATAACACGCGCGAACTACGCCGAACGAAGTCATTCTCAAGCCAAATCTCTGTGCGATTCGAACTCCAGCAAAGATGGAGCTGGCTTACAGTGGTCGCTCGCCGTCCGACCGCATCCACATTGGCTGAAATACGAGCATCATTATTAATTCTACATTGCTAACATTTCGAAATTAATAGTAGTTAGCGTACCTATTTGATTGTATAAAAAGATACTATTTTATTAAATAGAATATTAAAACAGGAAACAATGTGTAGGTACTTGCCTCTGCGGGTTTTATCTACAACAACAACACACTAAATTCAATTAATTTGGTTCAAATTACAACTCATATGTTTGTTTACAATAGAATTTTATGACATTTCTTTTACACACTTTTTTAAATCGCTCTTTTAGAGACTTGAATTTGTAGATATTGACATTTCAGTGCGTTTCACGGCAAATTTTATCGGTTTTCAGGTAGTCAAGGCACGTCTCTTAACGTTTCGTATGAGGTCATAGTTTTAGGTTTTGTTGGGGTTTTGGTTTTGGTTAAACCTTTAAAATTGATAGCGCGATTGCATTTTGAGCATCGGTAAAACCATTTATTTACCAAAACCAAAACCTATACCGTTGAATGGTTAAACCTTTAGAAAATAGCGCGATTGGCCCCCTGCTTTAGGCCGGCCTCACACAAAGGAATTTACTCGTCTGTGAAAAGACATAGTGCAACTTACGTAAAAGCAATCTGCACGTATAATAACTGAGTACCTATTTATTATTATGTATGTAGGAACAATGGGTGAATGCCGCACTTGCAATTGACAAGCGCTCTGTTTGTCTGATAATCCTTCAGCTTCTCGCCCGACAGAAAAGCCGCCTTCGTTAGCTAGTGATTAAGCTTGTTAACACAGACTTTGCGTATTGAAATCTATACTGCATATTATGAGCGGGCTTTATGTAAATGTTTTAATATTTCAATAAAAGAATAACCATGGATATAGGAGAATAACCATCGGTCAGTTCTGACACATGTGAGGTTAAATAAGAAATGAATATTTGAAATTAAATATTTGCTCTAAAATTAAGGAAATAGCCAAATACCCAAAAAAAAAGGAAATATGTGAGGTATTTTAAAGTATTTTATTAGACATTTATTTAGATGTGACAAATTATGGATGAAATAGATATGTATATTTACCCAAATTTGTCACAGTGTCCAATTATTGGATATCGAAACTTAAGTAGGTAGGTACTACATTTTTATCACTTTTTCAAAGGCGTTTGACTTTGTTACACTGTAATTTTGACGATTATTTTTAAATTTCTAAAGCATTTCTCTGGAACCTTCTTAATTAAAGTATCTAAACTGTTTAATTTTGTACTCAATAACAGTAACTATAACAGGAAAATCGAGGAATTGGTAAATGGAAACTGAAAGAACAATTCTTATGTTTGCAATGCAAAAAATACAGCATGAGAATTTTAACAGAATGTTCTATTGTAAATAATTTTTTATAAAATTATTATTATAAAATTATATCCCACGTTTTTTATTTCAATAAATGTTTTCATTTTAAAGTTGTGTCTTTTTAGTTCTAGTTGCCTAGACTTTATTTAGATTCTGAGGTAATACTCGTATGGGTATACGAGTATTACCTTTTTTTCATTCATATTATTTTGCATTCATTTATTTTAAATGCATATTTTAGCTACAAATAATATTAATAATAATGTACCAGGCAACCAGACCAATTGAATTGCAAAACTTTATGGGGACTACTGAGATCTCCCAGATCAAAACCAATTTAGAAAAGTTTATTTCGCAATTTGGTCCGGGAATAAAACACGGGATCTCCCAATCCAGCACCCGCAGTATAAACTGTTGGACCACCGAAGTCGTACGTGATTACATATATGAAATAATAGTACAACGCAATTATCTGACTTGAATCACCTTTTATTGAGTTGCAAATACAATGCTCTATGTCTCTAAACACAGCATAGTAACAAAAGAGAAAAACACATTTATCCGTTCATTAGTAGACATTTTGTTCTTGAACCCACCGCCTAAAACTGTAGAGTGTAATTTCTTAGCCCAACGTTCACATGTTTCTTTTTTACGAAAAAGAAGATTTTGTAATATTTTAATTTAGATTTGTAGGATTCTATTCTGACTTATCGATAATAACCAACCTTGTAAAATTGTGACTTTTAAATTGAACTACAATACATTTAAGTCCTATAACCATTAAGTCAATGCATATAACACAAGCTTATACTTAGTTTTGGTTCCAGTCTCGTACAAACATAATGTGGAATTAATTTTACTATAATACGAGCACTGTACCCCACGTTTGGTGGGATAGGGCTTGGCCTGCGGCGCGTGGTCGGGTTCAGGTTGCGGGGTGTGCTTATGCTCTTCAGTGGCTCAGGCATCGTTTAGATTCTCGATTTGAGCCAATTTATATAACAAACATTTTTAAGTTGGTTCTGGTCTGGGTATTACCCTCAGGTTATGTGTATTGTGGTATTCAAAATACAGGAAATTTCCTAGTTTATAACCAGAAAATTGGTGTGCTTATCTGGCATTATTACGGCGTTCTCGCATGCCGTGATAGCAATATTATTATTCTAAATTGTATATAACACAAATTGGAAATAGCTGAACTTGTTCACTGATGGATTGCAAAGACTATAACTTCTTTTTATTTAACATTTTTTTTCTCACTCAATGCATTGTATTGATTATTATTCAATTCAATTACGACTTGTGCTCCGTTACGTAATGACACGACCGGTCCTGAGCGCAGCGAGTTGCCTCTGTGTGCACTCTTGCAGTGTTCGTAAGACGAAATTCGCATATTGCTGAATATGTTTGTTCTGTTCCGTTGTTCCTGTGCACGAGTTCTTTGTGTTGTATGTGTTATGTCTATATGTCTGTGGCTTTATCTATTCATAACTTGAAATTGTTTATCATAGACCACATACATACGTTTATTTCTTCCGTGTTGTTTGTTGTGTATCAGATTCCGTTTGCCTACTTTTTGTTTTATTTAATGTATATTTAGGGGACTATGGGTTTATTTATAAGTTAATTTTAAATTATGTATTTTTTTATATGTGTGTAACTGTTTGTCCCTCAATAAAATAAAATAATATAAAATAAAATAAAAATTATTACATTTTATTATTTCGCATAGCTTCCAAGAAAAAGGAGTTTAACAGAGAGTCGGTCGAGATACAATAACGCTATAAATGTCCTATTTCCACTACATCGCGAGAAGTATGCTTTACATTTTTAACAATTGCGAGATCTTGTACTCGTAACAGGCCTTCCATACTATACGTAGTACTCCATACATACTATACATACTATACGTAGGTACGTATAGTGCTGGCGGATGTCTCGGGATTCTCCCTCCACTGAAACTCGTTCTACGGTCTCGCTACTTTCGACTTTACTTTAAAAATGAAAATAACACTTTAATGGTATGGTAACTTTAGTGGTATGGCCACATATTTAAAAATTTAATTTTTATTGTCTGCCGCCAATAAACGCTTGTATGATAGCTATATTAAAAAATGGCGAAAAATATTATCAAACACCCATAGAGGCCCCCGCATGACAATTCGTTTAGAGCAATTTTTTTCTGCCGCCAACCAACTCTTATTTGGCGGCCATATTAGAAAATAGCGAAAAACCAATTTTGATCACAAATTTTCATCAGGCACTCCTAGAGGCTTCTGCTTGCTAATTTTCAGCCGAATCAAAGCAAGTCTTTTTCGGCAGCCATCTTTAACGAAATAAACGGCATTAAAACGCTTACTTGGCAGCCATATTAAACAATGGTGAAAAATCCTTTTGACTCCAAATTATGATTAAGGTCTCCTAGAGACTCGCGAGCTCGCCAATTTTCAGCCGGATCGAAGCAAGTTTTATTTCGGCCGCCATTTTGAATTCGCTATATTGATTTTTGTGACACGGGCAGTTGACCACTGTTGCCCTCCATGACATTCCTTCCAGCACCTCCTACTCATTTCTAACTATCTCTGTGATAAAACTCTGAAATTTAAATGGCAGCCATCTTGTTTATTTGAATATCGAACATTTTTTTACTTCCAACTGAAATTGCCTAGGGTATCTCATAAAAGTGCACAAATATCCCCTCCATATATCTGTGACAGTTGACAGTTTTTGCAGGCCGTTGATCACTCTGTAATACAAATAATCAAATACGAGATGACCTGAATGTGGCAAACATTCAGGTCATCTCGTATTTGATTCTTTGCTTTGGAACTTATTCGCGTACAACAGTATAAATATCTTTTTTCCACCATATCGGGTGTAAGTTAAGTGTAAGTTTGCGTTGTATTTTTACCAGTTTTAGCTATAAACATACGTATAAGTATAAACTGCCTCCATGGCCGAACGGTTACCATGCCGGACTGCCATGCAGAGGTCCTGGGTTCAATTCCCAGGCCGGGAGAAATATGTGTATGACCTTCATTTATTTCTCTCGTGAGTTTTGTATAATTTGTGGTTGTCTATGTGTGTGTCCATGGCACCCACGACACAGGGTTTCCCTAGTGCGGGGCTATGTTGAGTGTGTGCATTATTATTATTATTATGCACAGTATAGTGGTTCAAATTTTGTACATGCACATATGTTAAGTTTGAGGAGAAAATTAATACTTTACTATTGTTTACTATTATAAGCAAAAATCAGACAAAAAGCTATTGCAAAAACGTTTGAGGTCACCGTTTTTTTAATTTATGATACGTAATATGTTTAAACTCTGTCTATTCAAACCATTTAAAACCTTAAAACCACGGACTAGTATTTATGTGGTGTGTG